ATTTCTCATATACAATTGTTGTAGATTTGAGAGACCTTCAAATACAGCTGCATTTACTGTCTTCAGCAAGTTGCTGTCCAATATTATGACCTCCATTTTAATCAGAGGCTTGAAGACTCGCACAGGAAGGCTTTTTAGTTTATTTTGCTCAAGATTGAGGAGGTGCAATTGGCTAAGGCCAATGAAGGATCTTGTTGAAATCTTAGAAATTATATTAAAGGCCAAATTGAGTGTCTTTAGTGCACTTAATGTCTGAAACGCATTGGAGGGCAAAGCAGTAATTCTGTTTAAAGGCATATCTAAATCAGAGAGGTTCAGAAGGCCATGAAAAGTGTCAGGCTTAATTTCTACTAAATGATTTTGACCAAGCATAAGAAAACGCAAATCTGTCAATTTTTGGAATGCTTTGGGTGGAATTTTAGTGATCTGATTTCCATAAAGATTAATTAGTTTCAATTTTCTAACTCTGTGAAAGGCCTGAGGATGTATCAATTTTATGGAATTGTGTTCCAGGTTGATGCTTTCAATGTTCCGAACTGTAGACAGGAATTTATCTGGAAGTTCTTGTAATGTATTGGCCCCTTCGAAAGAAAATAAATCGTTACTTTAAGTTTAGGTGCTCTTCAGTATTAGTCTAAAGCTTATGCATTGGCATATAACTACATTGTATTAATCCTAATAGGGTTCATTTTACTCTCTACCTATAAAAACAGAGCATTCAGACTTTATTATGGATTAGAGTAACAAAATCCACCTCCGTTCTGAAAGTAGTGCACAGCTCTCCTGTGCAGACACCACAACCCAAGTTCTACTTCACCTTTAGTATCCTATTTCCATCTGAATGTTTAGACTTGTCCTTCTGAGAATGCTCAGAAGCAATCTGCTATAGCTACTTGTACTATCATGTGTTGGAGCTCTAAGTATAGGATGACTCAAACTTTCTCTGGCTGAGGGTGACCTAGAACCTGGATCTTTCAGCCTCTAGGCAAGTGCCCTGCTCATTAGCCTCCTCGATTAAACAGTTGTTTAGCCTGTTTCTCCTCCATTTAAATTTTTGGGGATTTACACAGACTTCTGCACTTCCCAGGTAAAATAGGATTTTAAGAAGAAAAAGTGGCTGTACTAGCTTCCTCCTGATCGTGCTCAGGGGGACAAGTCTAATTGCGTAAGTAGAAATAAAATCTAAAATCCTGTTACTGACACTTATGTATCTACTTCAGATAGCTAGGTAATATTTTGACACCTAAAGATGAAATAGGGTATGGGCCCAAATGTCCTGTGGCTGTTACTTTATGATCTGGTATAGCAGCTATACACTATCTGCACTGTATGGTAGGGCTCAACAGCTCTGTGCAGCAAAGAATTCTACATTCTGCTCTTAAGTCCACTCTGAAAGCTGCAGAGTCACCCTTTCGTGGCTGCTTTACTGCAGTGCTTTTAATTGCACACACTTACCCACAAGGCTGAGATTATGTGGAGGGTCTTCTGCAGGCCGTGTACATAAATAAACAGTTTGACTACATATGTTTTATTTTTCTCAAGAGTGAAGTATACCAGTAATTTATATAACAAGCCTGTTTACTGCATCTTAAACAATGTAATGATTCTGCACTAAAATCTTACCTTATTTCAGCATCTTTCTGCTTTCTTCTATTTATAGGAGTTTATTTTAGTCACTCAGAATGTGTCTTATTTTGCATTTTATATATTTATGTTAAATTTGTGTATTGAAGCATTTTTAAAAACGAGAGGTAAATGCATATATTGAAACACATTTATTTAACATATAAACACCGAAGTTTCCACAGAGGGCATACTTGCATCTTATTGTTTAGGCATCACATACATTTTCTCCCCTAATGATCAAATCTCTTTGCATAAAGATAAAACAAGTATTGTTTTTACCTTAAGGGTGGGAAAATTGCAATGCCGAAAGTTTAAATGGATTCTCTCAGGTCACATAAGTCTATGACACAGTGAGGACTAGAACCCACGTCTCCTGTCTTAGCTAGTGGATTAGGATGCACCTTCTGTCTCTAATTCTTATTAAAAACTTTCAGTAATGTTTTGAAAGCTTTTATTAACTTTAAACAGAGCTTTTGCAAAAAAAACCCCACGTGATCGATGGTTACCTATTCCAGGTAATTGTGGCTTTATAATATTTATACAGTCATTAACATGTTTTACTCATTTATTTTACCTTAACTGTCCTAAATATCACAAAACGTATCACAAATACTTACAAGAGGAAGCAGATGTTACTGTGCTTACCAAATCTTAGGACCCATGTATTCAGAGGCAACTTTTGTGGAACCTCCGTCAGTCCTTTCTGATAACAGTCCACCTCAGTATGGTAAAGATGTGGTCTCTGGGTACAGTTGCACTCTTCAGGGCATGCTTGTACCACATGTGATGCACAGAATATACCAAACAGATATGAGAGGAGTAAATGTAGTTCCATGTCTAGTATAATAGATGTTGACAACTTTCAAACACGTGACCTGATAATTAATATTTTACAGGTGATCCGAGGTGCAGCTAAAGAAACACATAAAATTGTTATTGATATAGGAAAAATGTGTATGTGAACTTTTAAAATGTAAATAACATTCTGGTTATACACTATAATTTTCTTAAAGGCAAAATAATACATTATGCAATAATATTTTAAGGTTCCTCAACTTAGTTATAATTTGATACTTCTAACTAAAACTGAGCTGCAATTGATTTAAGAAATGTTGTCATTTGAGGGCAGTCAACTGAAGTCATATATACACACACACACCATAAACTATATAGACACTGTAGGAAAAAGTATAAATACATAATTTTCTACTATAACAACAAATGAAAACATAGTATGCAATAAACTAGGTACTTCATAATATGTATTCATACATATATACTATATATACACACATCTACACGTATATCAAATTTAATTTGTTTTGGTAGTATTTGTCTTAAAATATTATGAGAAATGTTTGACATTCTTAGCGAAACAATTATGCTTACCTTAAAATATCTGAAATAGAAGTCAAACAGGTGTTTTGGTTAATCAGCAATTTCTAGTAAAGGTTCTTTATTACAGTAAAAATTGGCATTTTACAGACTGAAGGAGAATGTTAACCTGTGCAAGGGTTTTGCTCAAATGTACTGTTTGTGTTTGAGAGTCCCAGAGAGGCAGGAAAAACAAGCAAATACAGCCAGTAATAACACATATCAGAAGGAGACATTTACCTGTGAAAGAGCATATGCAACTACAGCACAAAGTTGCAATGAACATATTATAATTTATGCATAAATTAAACATTTGGGCAGTGGTTTGTTTGATCTGGCTGTCTTTGGCTGACTTTAGTATTGACTTTTCAGCCCTGTTAAACAGTATAACTATTACATGTTCTGCAACTTGAGCTAAATATGCCATTATATAACTGTACTGAAGAAACTGAAGTTTAGTTTTTGGAGTCTTTTTTCAATAATATGCACCTAGGTTAATAAACATGGCCCTGTGAAGTCAAGGGAGGTATTTGCTTATGTCTGCCAACTAAACAAAGAAGGTACAGTGAAGAAACAGGAAACATGTAATTTACACTTGTCTGGGTTTGTAGCAGGAAATAATGTGACTAGCAGATTTTTTTTTACTCAGACAAGTATATGTACAGTAACTAATACAGTATAACAGTTAGAATTTTACATTGATCATATTCTCCATATAGTATGAGTCTACATTCAATTTCAAGTAAATTTTGTTTAATACAGAATTTTAAAAGAATCCAAGCTCTCAACTCCTTACAAATGATTACAAAAGTAATTCATTAGACTTGATCTCTAATTGAAAGAAATACTCATGAGTTTCTACCACCTAATCAAACATCCTGACACAAAACTGTGGGGAGAAGTAGACATGCTGGAGGGCAGGGAACAACTACAAGCAGACGTGGACAGGTTGGACATATGGGCAAAAAACAACAGAATGCAATTCAAAAAGGAGAAATGCAAAGTGCTAAACCTAGGGAGGAAAAATGTCCAGCATACCTACTGCCTAGGAAATGACCTGCTTGGTGGCACAGAAGTGGAAAGGGATCTTGGAGTCCTAGTGGACTCCAAGATGAACATGAGTCGTCAGTGTGACAAAGCCATCAGAAAAGCTAATGGCACTTTATCGTGCATCAGCAGATGCATGATGAACAGATCCAAGGAGGTGATACTTCCCCTCTATCGGGCGCTGGTCAGACCACAGTTGGAATACTGCGTGCAGTTTTGGGCGCCGCACTTCAAGAGGGATGTGGATAACCTGGAGAGGGTCCAGAGAAGGGCCACTCGTATGGTTAAGGGCTTGCAGGCCAAGCCCTATGTGGAGAGACTGGGGCACCTGGACCTCTTCAGCCTCTGGAAGAGAAGGTTGAGAGGCGACCTTGTGGCTGCCTATAAGTTCATCATGGGGGCACAGAAGGGAATTGGTGAAGCTTTACTCACCAAGGCACCCCTGAGGGTTACAAGAAATAATGGCCATACTTTCCTGCCTATGCAGGGGGTCAGACTCGATGATCTATTGAGGTCCTTTCCAACCCTAGCATCTATGAATCTATGAATCCACCTGCTTCTGTAGCTCAGGGGATTTCTTAGAATAGATTATTGTTCTAAGTAACCAACTCAATAAACATATTAATATATAAAGTTAGGTTCCTACATCTATATTTAGCTATCTAAATAAGTTACCTGAATTTCAAATGTGGTGAGTACCCAACAATTCTCACTAATTTCAGGGAGAGGTATCCACTATTTTTGAAAACCAGACTACATATTTAGATTAACTATATCAGAATTTAGGACTATAATTTTGGACATTTCATTTTGAAAATCTACCAGTGGGAAAGTTGTATGTCAAGGAAGATTATGACTCCTCTTTCTGAATAACTTCCAAGATTATAAATATGTTTAACAAGTTGTTCATGTTCTCCTCATTCTGCATCCTATGGTACATATTTTTTATCTAGGTAGTGCATCCAAAACAAGTCCGTGTGACAGAAGCTCAGGAAGTACTGAGGCTAGCTCATCAAAAACTAGCAGAAAAACAAAGAAGTTTAGCCCTGGTGAGACATTTCTCATTATTCCATGCCAACTGTTATTATTTGAAGTATGTAAGTTTTTGCATGTCCTTTGGCTCTACATGAACATTTAAAAGTTATTTTTATTTCAAAGACATCAGAAGGGAAAACACTTATTTACTGGAGCATTGGAGCACAACCATAGGCCTTCTCTACACATTAAATCTATTGCACAATTACCTTGTTAAATTAAGACCGGCTGCATGTGCTAATTAACTATCATGGCTTAAGAAGTGTCCAACCAGTGTAGCAGAAACAGGACCCAGGGGTGACCGTGCTACCCCCTGGTGGCCAAATTACCACTACCTTATCCTGATTCTAGGTACCCTCCACTATGCCTTGATGTAATTATTAAATTGTGAAAGGGAAGCTGCCTTTTAGTCCTAGAACAAGTCATTGTCCTTCTTTTGCCAGTGGGTCCCCTCTCAGAACCCACTAGCCCAAACTGGTTCTGTCCATAGTTGGGCCATCCCAGCCCGCGTGTGCCTTGAGGCACCCATTGCCTTAGGGGCTTATTATGTGGCTCCAAACTGCCCCTTATACCACATCCATGCCTTGCAGGTGTTGTTTGTCCAATCAACCCCTTGTACGGGGTCTCAACCAACCTGGCCTCTGCCTCTTTTCTCTTGCTGAGCCAGTTAGCTCAGGATCCATTGCATCAGACCTGGTGTCTGGAATCCAGCCTTAGCCATGCCCTGTTGGGCTTGGGCTTACTCCTTCCCAGGCTTAGGGCCACTGGCTACAGTCTCTGCACCTCTCAGGTGTGCATTTGGCCCCTGGCCCATGTCTCTGCCTTTCTTAGGCACTGGACCTTCTGGCCCCAGGCTCTGCCCCTCTTTGGTCTTACTGCCTCTCAGGTACCTGACTATGCCTTAAGCCTTCCCCTAGCAGGGCTCTCCCCCAGCACTCCCCCAGCATGTGCCCTAGGTCACTAATGGCATTTCCAAGCCAAGAAGTGCAGGGCTCACACCGGTGCCCTGGGACCAGGGTCAGCAGGGGCCCAGGATGGGACAGCAGGAGTGTGGAGTGTGGCTGGCAAGAGCTCTATGGAGCCAAGCCAACTCCACCACTCTCCCTGTTGGCAGCCAGGCCACATGCATTCCTGGGGCTTGCAGGGACCGCACACTGCTGGGGCTCTCCATATGCCGCAGGCTGTGACCGCCATACCCACACGCCCATACCTCCACCCTCTCACACACCCCAGCCAGCCTCCCTCACCATGCATGCCACAACCCTCAGCCATCCTCCCTCCCACACACAGCCCCCCACAAACCGCCTACCTACCCACACATCCCCACACAAAGCCCACACACACACCCACAGGCCCCCACAAACCCTGTGCCCACCCACCCATACCCCTCCATACACCCCCCTCCCCACAATATACAAAAATAAAATTTCATTTTAAGCTATTATGCAGTCACCTCTATGTACACTAGGGCTGTGCGAAACTTTGGTCTCTGATTCGATTCAGTGGAGATTCGGTCCAATTCTGTGGCCAAACCCCCAAATCTGAATTTAAATCAAGAGACCCTGTAATCTCTCTGAATTGAATTGGAACCCTCTGAAATGATTTGGAGAGATTTGGAAAGATTTGGCGATTCAGACATTAACATAGCTTTAAATTATTTTTCTGCATACCTCAAGGTACCAGGCGGCTCATCGATGCTGTGATGCTGGGGCAGATGGAGGCTCCCCAGTGCACTTGGCAGCAGACCCGGAAGTGGACCAAAAGCACTTCTGGTCCACTTCTGGATCCACTGGCAAGCGTGCTGCCCCCACCCCCTGCTTGGCGACTGGTGCCTCCTGGGTCTGGGGGGGGCACCCGGGGTCCCCCTGCAACCGATCACCAAGCCAGGCGAGCACAGGGGGCGCCCCTGCATGCTCCCTGGGGGACCTGGAAGGGGTACTTCCAGTCCACTTCTGGTTTCACCACCAAGCACGCAGGGGCCCCCCCTACACTCCTGTGGGATACTCCATCCACTCCAGCATTGCAGCATTCACGAGCTGTGCCTGGCACCTTGAGGTATGTAGAAAAAACATTTAAAGCCATTTATGGTTGAATCGCTGATTCTCCGAATCAGCATTGAATCTTTGGATTTGGCCAAATTGAATAGGGGGCAGCAATCTGAATCAATTCATCAAATCACTGTCCCCGATTTTGGCCAAAGCCAACTTAAATATGGCCCGTTTAGTACAACCCTAATGTACACTACACAAAACGCATATAAATCAAGACAAAAATATTTTTTTAAATCAAATTAATGTATGTTGGTTGATTTTTTAAATATAATTTTTTTTTTCTGGTTCCAAGATGGCATCCCCTCTAGCCAAAAGGAATACTTCTGAGGGCAAGGGGAGGGACTTCCAGTGGCAAAGGTCAAGGGTTAGGGGACAGGACTTCTGGTTCCAAGATGGTGATCAGGGGTCGGGGCACCTGTCAAGGGGCAGGTCTACCCTTGAGGCCCTCAACAGCTCACCAGAACTTGTTAAGTGGCCCTCCAGCCAAAATAATTGCCTGGCCGTTGCTTATATGCTTAGAGCCCTGCCACCTTCTGGTCATGTCCCCTATCAGCTGACCTGCTGGCAAGGCTGCTTATTAACCCCAGCCTAGCCAAATGCCTTTGTACAATTCACAAAACCCCTTCCCTTAAAAGGGGCCATTCTGCTTTTCCATAACAGGATAAGGATTCCCTGTTTCATAAGCTATAAAGTTATTATGCTTGAAAATGCATAATAACTTTATAGCTGGTTTTATCCAGCTTTAATTTGCATGTGTAGGCAGTCTGCCACTGGGAGAATGCAGCTGCTGCAGTCTCCCAGACATTGTGATCTCCAGCCATAGGGCACTCCATTCACCCCCACAGCTGAAAGTTTGCAGCAGTGGCCCATGGCTGTAGGAGCTAAGAGGCCTGCAGCTGATGGGTCTCTCAGTCCTTGCTGCCCTTGGGGCACAGCCAAAACCAAGAGGCCAACAACTGATGGGGCACATGATCCCAGCAGCCTGTGGGACACAGCCAGAACTGAGTCCCATGCCTGACAGGGTTCTTGGTCCCAACTGTACCATACAGGCAGCCAGAACTGAAAGTCCTGCGCCTGACAGTGCCACTTCAGTCCCCTAACCCTGTCTGATCTGCTGCTCTCCCTTCTGCCCCCTGCCCTATCTTTCACTGTGCTGCCTGCCCACTCCCTTATGTGTCACATGTCCCACTTGTGGCATGCATGTTGAGGGCTGGCCACACCTGTTTTAGAGCAACACAGCATGGAAAAAAACTATTGTTAAAATG